CAATAATGAAAAAAAAAAAAAGGTTCAGTGTTAAATTAGTGAGGAAAAAAGTAAACTTGTAAGGTTAAATGATCATGTAAAATTTTTACCGTGTTGAAAATTTCACAGTGAACACAGTAGGCTAGTACAGCTGAATGTTAATGTTTGCAATGCCTGCAATTATAAATATTGCAGGTAATTATTAGCACACAGCAGCTTCCTGGTTTTCTGGACCAAGATGAAAGACAAATGAAAATAATAATAAGAAATAGTAAGATTCACTGAAGGTTTTTATCATGCTGTACAGTCCTCCAAGGAAGACTATGTCAAGACCTATCTCCATATCACAACTATTTAACGACTAAATTTTTATTAGTGCTCTAGGTAATCAAAGACAAAACAGTTTTGCCTCTATGCTTTATGATCAGGTCCTGACAGAATGCACATCCAGATTTGTGCAAATAAAGAATCAATACATCTAAACCAAATTAGAAATGGATGTTGGAACAGCATGAACAGATAAACAAGCTAGCAAAGGAATAAAGCATAATGTGGATAAATAAATGGTTTATGACTGAAGAAAACCAACCTCAACATTCAAAAATTATACTTCTATATAAATATATATTTCTCCTGCAATATTTAAATTGGTGAAACATAAAACCTTGCTAAGAATAAACTTCAATATACTTATCCAACATTGACCATTTCTCTGCTTTACAGAATATAAAGACAAATTACTTTGTATTATAAGCATTATACAAAATTTACCCTGCTGCAATAGTTTGCCAAAGCTGATATATTCTGAACCCAGCACAAAGATAAAGACAAACACACTTTTGTTGCATCCTATAACTTGTTTTTGTCTATGACCTTGCCATTTCATACACTACAGTGCTAACAAAAATAGTTTGCCAACAGGATTTTATACAGGACATCAGAGTTTGTAGGTTAACTGACCTTACACAAAGCCTTTGTAAAGAGCTAGTATGCATTTAGCATGAATATTACAGACATACAGCATTTCAGTTGCATTAATATAACCCTATTTAACAGAGCCAAGGCTGCATTATTTCACATTATTTAATTACTTTGTTTAAAAACAGCATCTGAGTAAATGCAAGCATACAGAAACTGATCTGATGTAAACTGGAGCTTAAAATAATTCACCATTGTGGGGATACAGATTGCCATCTTTTTTCTTATTTTGTTGATCATCCATAATATAGCTTCTGATCAAAACGTAAAGATGGATGAAATATGAGTGTATTTTTAGGGCTACATTTTTAATTAATGTGAATGTAACTTTATTCACGTTTGTGATCTCTTCTGAAAAATGTACAAAGTAATAGAAAAATCTTGAATAAAGATAACTGAAGGTAAGGGCAAATTATCATGACCTTTAAGACCTTTACAAATGCTTACAACAAAACTCACTTTGTATAGTGCCATAAGCTCTGCAGTAACTCACAAAAAGAGATGCTGTGTAACTATATTTGAAAATTAATTCATTGGCTGTTTACCTGCAATGGAGTATGGTAGGTGCTTAACATTTTTCCAAATCAGGTTAGTCAGTTGGGCATTTCAATGCCAATTTCCAAATGTAAGGTATTTAAAAAAAAAAAAGCCTCTTCTGTAGTCTTGCCACTCATGTATATATATGCCCCAAAGTAGTGCATGTGTGCATGCACTTGTGTGTGTGTATGATTATGAAAAAGAACTTATTTAAAAAAAAAAAATTTCAGACTACCAGTATTGCAAATGTCTGTCAAGAATACCCAGCAAATAGGCTGGCTTTTTTTCCCTTTTATTTATTATCAGGCTTGCTCTTGCCAAAGTCTACCTAGAGTGGATGATCAATTAGTTTGAATGAAACAAGCCAATTCAAACGTTTTCTGACAACAAAGTAAAGAGTTATATCTTAAACTTGTTTTGAAATCCACCTTCTCCATATGAATTTTGAAGGACTATAGCCAAGGTAATATACTGAAAAACATTAAAAAATACTAAATATATTACAGTTATTTCTCCCTGCAAAAACAAATTACTTGGACAATTAAGACATGGAGTTCTATCTGCAATATTCTTTAGCTTCCTGAAGCACCATTCTTAGCTGGGACATCTCTCAAAGCATTGTTTTTTAGTTTAACGAGCAAGCATGAATACAACTAAAGATCTCTCACTAGTTTTGGGATTCTGAAGACTTAAAGAGAACATCCCAGCCCATCATTTCCAGCTTATATTAGGTAAGCCAAATGGGCACTTTTGTGCACAAAATGAGTAACTGAATGTCTAAATGCTCTTTTATGGGCAAACACTCCAAATACAGGAGGTACACATGTATCAAGTTGAGGCACTCCAAACTGTGAGAATTTCACACAAGTTTGAGACCTGTCATTAAGCTTCAGGTATCTCGTTTTATAAAGGTCTATGCAAGACTCCAGTCCATAGGCATTGTACGACAGTCCTGTTTCCTGTTCCCACCTCAATATCTCATGACTTTGTACTTACTAGCTGATGATGAACAACTGTGTGTATACATAGTGAGTGCCAACTTGCTTCACAAAGTTGGGGCAATGGAAAATATAGGGCCCATGCAGGGCATAATTTTAAATGGTCTCTTGAGAGCACTCAGAAGAAATCTTGCTTTCACCCTGACTCTGTCTCTCCTACTTCCTCACTATGGAGAAACTCTTCTTGTCACACCAAGTCTATGTTAGAATCACTGAAAAGTGATTTCCCCCAGAAATAGGAACAGGGTAGACGTGTAAAAACATAAAAGCCTCCTCAGATCTTTACCTTCAAGCTATGGAGGGAGAATGGCAGTGTCACTAACTGGGCAAGCCGAACAGCATTGGCTGCAGGACTAGAGTTTGGCCCTAATAAGATTTAAGGTTTGAATCAACATCTATATGGTTGAATTACTTAGCTGGATCCAAAGAGTATGTGTATACCCACACAAACCTGTAAAAGTCTTGTGTATTACATTAGTTATTACCAACTAATGGACAAGCCAAGAACACAATACTCACGCTACAAACAATGTACACAAAGGTGTAGTTATTTTGGCACATACGCAAGGCTAACAGTCAGTTAAGAGGACACGTACTAGTGCAACACATTACATCTGCTTTGTCATGAAGGTAAAAGGTTTGTTTCTTGGCCAGTGCAAACAGAACTCTTATTCATGGATGACAGGCACATGCCCCCAGAATATATGCATCGCTGAAAGGCAGGGTTATGTTTTGCATATCATACATGCAGGCACAAAGAATTAAATTTTATTTTATAATTATGACAAACCTTAAGGAAAAAAGCTATCAATTACAACTTTAAAGTTTTGGGTTTGGAGAAAGATACACAAGGATTTTCTCTACAGATGGTTACAGATGGCTGGGATACCTATCACTTGCAAGCCAAACCCATAGCAGTCATTTGCCTTTTAGTTCTGGCTAATTCCAGCTACCATAAAAAAATATTGAGTCAACAGAGCGAAAATATGGGTGACTGAAATGCTAATTCATGAACAAAGCTTTCTATAATGCCAAACAGCTGTCAGAGGATTTTTTAGTTTAGATAAGGTCAGTAAAATACATGGAAAATATCATACTTCAATCTAAAATATCTTTGAAGGACAATCTCTATGCTGATGAAAAACACAAATTGTGACATGCAAGTAGTTTTGAAATCTCCCTTTCCGTTCCCTAAAGTGAAAAAGAGATAAGAAATATTGTAGGTTTAAAAAAACAAACAAAAAAAAGGTTAGATCTTGGCCACTGTCCAATATTCAACATTTCCTTTGGGATTCCAAATATTTGATTACAATTAATGACAACTGTTCACATAGGACTGTTGAAACAATGTATGTTTTTTAGTGTCTGCTTCTCAGTAACACTATTGTGATAGCTTTGATAGCCATAAAAAGCAGGACAATAATTTTTGTTTCTGATATTTACATATTGATAGGATTGTTGCAAAACTCTCAACAAGTAACTAAAGCACATGGATAGAAGGAATTAGTAAGCAAGCACTGATAAGAAAACCCATTTGACTTCTGCATATTTTATTTAAAAACTACGTTATTTTTAGAAAATTATTTGTAAGGACTATTCTTTTGCCTCAGTGAGGATTTTTATTTCTTGTCCTCAATCTTGCAAAGGCTTTGATGGTCAGGTTAAGCCTCAGTAGAGATACAGGTAAGACTGTGTACTGCCATAGTATTTAAGAGTTTAATTTTAAATGAACAGTATAATTTGAGTTTGTTCTTTAAGGCAGTTATTGCTAAAAGCTACCTGAACTGTCTGATCACATTTCTTTTGGTAGCATGTTCAGAGGCAATGAAAGCAAAGATAATTAGGAACAACAGGGTTTTATAGAAGATGTTGCATAGAAGAGCGTTGCATAGCGTAAGATGCTGAAAATCAGACTGGAAAGTTAGATGGAATGAGTTGAGATGCCCAAAAAAAAGATGAATGTAAACCTTATTAGGTACCCATGTCCTTACTTCAGACATGACATTTAGCTACAGTCTAGAGTATGGTGCACAGGAAGAACATATGCTCTACAACACTTCAAGGGTTGAAAATGGGTCACCTCCTGCACCTCCTGAGCTATCCCTTCCCCTCATCTCTGAGGTACCAGCTGTACTTGCTGTCTGAGAGTTGAGGGAATGGCAGATGAACAAGAAAATGTACTTTGCCTCATTCTCAAGCAGGCCTGGAACTTATGGCTAACATTCAAGCTAGTATTTAGGCTTTCATTTTCCTACAGATATTAGTGGAAAAGTAAGAGCTTAAGTGGCTTAAGTTCAGCTTAGGTGGCTGAACCCCTAATACACAGCTGCATATGGTGCTTTTATTCATAGCCCTTATCTTCCACACCAAGTGTAGTAAAAGGGAAAAATCTTTCCAAAGTACTATCTTTCCAGCCACAACTTCCCTTTGTCACTGTCATATCAGAATGACTTCTTTTTTTTAAAGCTATCCAACTGTAGAAACAAAGAAGAAACAAAGAAGCGTGTTCCTCAAAATAAAATACTGCTATCTGAAGCAGGTTTTTTATATATATATATATTTTCTCAGGTCCTGATCCAAAGCTTACTATGCTATTGAAAGTATTTCAAAGAACTTTGCAAAGGTCTATACAAAGTGCTTTGGTTCATGGCAGGGATTTTATACTGTACAAGTAATGCAAAGTAAACTCTGGCAGAACCCCAGCTAGTTCCATCAGCCTCTTCTAAGCAGAGTAGCTCAATTTCTAGTCTATGTCAGCTTGGATCTGCCCGCATTCTCAATTCCTTTGCATGCCTTCTATCTTATGAGGGTGCTGGTCTCTCTCACACTGTGAACTAGCAACTTAAAACCTAATTATACCTTAAAATCTTCCTAACCAATCACTCCTCCTGTGTAGCAACAGTCTGGCCTTACTGACGCTCAGTATTTGGGTACTTGAGAAAGCCTGTCACTTGTGCATCTCAGGTTAGGTATCACCTGATATGCCAGACAAGGCAGCTAGCCAGCAACAAACAGCCAGATCAACAGTGTGCTGAAAGGGCTCTGCAGTAGACTGGACTTCACCCTTCATTTGGGCTGGGTCCAGATCTTTTCAGTTACCAATGAGTTATGAGTCAAGTCTTAAAGTCAATGGGAAGAACAGGGACACTGGTTTTGCCTGGAACTTAGCTGAAGGATTTATCAATGGTTAGAGGCTTAGCCTTCTTATTCATAAAAAACAGGTCTATCCTGGAGCCTTCTTCAGGTGCACAGGCACCAGTGATGTAGAAGAAGGTTCTATACGTTTAGACAGTTCACTACCACGCTGGAATAATTTAGCATTGTTGGTATCACAGTATGCTATTTTCTGCCTCAGAGTGTGACAGGTCACCAGTGCAACACAGTAGTGGATAATCCTTCATTCCATGGAAATTTTTCTTCAGGAACAATAGGCAACTCTTGGAAAGGCTTCACAAAGCTGGATGCTTCTCATCTTGGGCATCCTTGTATACATCAAAACTCTTCCCAGGTAACCAGAGCCAACCATGGGAAAAGCCACTTAAATCTTTACAAGAACATGTGCTGAGTTTTGGCAAGCCTCCCTCCCTCTTCAAAACAAAACCCAAAATAAATTATAAACAAACAAACAAAAAATCTCCAAGTCCACAAGGAAGTCCTTGCCTTTGTTTGCTATTTTTGTTTTGGTTTCAGACTGATGTATGGGCTCAAAGAGTCACTGGAGGCAAAGTTACAAGAAAAGCTACCATTCAATGTCAGAAAAACAAAACGTGAACAGTTTAGGGGCTGAAAACCAGTGCTCTGTTTCCAGACATTGGCCAAATACAGACTGTTGACCTGCATGGCACATGACAGCACACACTGCTCACTAAAATTACGTACTCTGAGTGGGATGCTGATATGGGTGGGGGGAAAGCAATAAATTTATTAACCTTTATTCAGAGTCAAACGTGAAAATCAGTGCATCAGCTCTTTTTGAAAGAAAGCAAAGCAGAACTGCTAGCAGCTGTTTTTGAATACTAAAAATCTTATCTTTCATAATTTTAGAGAAGCAGAGTAATACATTAGGGTACTTGTCCAGCTCTTGTGGAAAATTGGACCAGCCTTTTCTCTCCTTTTTAACCAATATAAAAAATGAGTTATTTTTATTCCTATTAAGCTGTTTTGGCATTCTGGGCCCCAGGCAGGTCACACTCAGCTGCCTGTACCTTAAGCCTGTGGAATTGGTTCTCCTTCTATAGCAGTGGAATGCCATTCTCATCAGTACTATTACTCCTAAGTTAGGCAGCAAAAGTGAACAGAGAAGTAAATCCCTAGGCTTCAAACAAATCTAACATAAAATGTAGCCTTGTTATAATAGTATATTCGTGGGGGCAAATTGCACCTAATTACATGGATATTAATTGTAAATGTCCTTATTCCAAGAGGCCATAAACTTTCCTTACATATGTTATAGCTTAAAGGGAATACATCCCAATGTATGTGCATAACAACATAATCTGATTGGCAGTGTTTAGTCATAATCAATATTTTAAAGCATTATTAGCTTAATGCCCCCTTCATTTCAAATGTGAGGCAGTGCAAACTTGAAAACAGACTGCAAAAAGCTTTGATAGATCTTTAGTAATGTCTTGTTCCTCACCTCTCAGGTTAGTACAATAGCTCCATCCAAATCCAGCCAGTCAGAACCATGCTACAAGTACACACAGTAACAAGCACAAAGTATAGACAGGAGGAAAGTAAGGGCTGGTATTTTCCACCTCTTTCTGTTGATGTTAAATACTTTGGAACCTATATTGTCCTAGAAATAGCTTTTTTTCAGTTTTTTTATGAGTGGTGTATGACATTTACAGGCTAGAACTTTGTACATTACAACCACTTACTCCCCAATAGCATATTGTTGAATGTTTTAACGAAAGTGCCAGATCCCGTATAAGACATTTTAAAAAAGCCCCAAAACAGTAGTCAAATCAAACTGCATAAACAATGGGATATTCTTCAGAAAGACTGCTATGAAAGACCCTCTTTTCAAGAGGTTCTCTTCAACACCCTCAGGGCAACTGGACATTTAGGAATGTTTGAGATCTTTTGCTTGAATTGACAAAGTGTGGTATAACTGCTCTTGACTTTTTTTTTTGTCTAAAGCTCAACAAAATGATGTACTTTTTTACCGATATATTTATTTTTGCCAATATACGCATGAGGAATGTAATGAAGTGGCATTGTGCTGCAAGTAGCTCAGCAGATGTTGAAATCAGTTCCAGTTCCTGAAAACAACTTCTTGACAACATAGTCTTAGCATTCACAATAACCAAAACATGTGGGATTCATCTACATCATTCTCGCAAATATTTTCTCTTCCCCCCTCTTTTTCTCCCTCTGTGTTGTAAACCCTCAGCCTTACTTGCTTCCTTGTACTTTATGATCATATGTGCCTGCATGCTTATAGCCAGATACATATCCTGAAGCATCCACCAGATCTTCTCGGCCAGCTTTGCCTTTTCCTTTCCCACTGGGATCAAACCTCTCTTTGTGAGAACCCGTGAATTTTGATGTATCTGTAAGGCGTGATACAGTTGGAGATGAAATGGCTTTCTGTTGGAAGAAAGAAAAGAAACAAAAAACCACATCAGAAATGAATTATTCTTAATACACATATTTGTACATGTGTCCTGGTTTTGGCAGGGATAGAGTTAATTTCCTTCCTAGTAGCTGGTACAGTGCTGTGTTCTGGATTTAGGATGGGAACAAAATTGATAAGGCACCGATGTTTTAATTGTTGCTAGGTAATGCTTACACTGGCCAAGGACTTTTTAGTTTCCCATGCTCTACCGACTGAGAAGGCTGCAGGTGCACAGGAAGCTGGGAGGGGGCACAGCCAAACTGGCCAAAGGGACATTCCATACCATGTGACATCATGCTCAGTACATAAACTGGGGGAAGCTGGCCGGGGGGGGCCGCTGCTCGGGGACTGGCTGGGCATCGGTCGGCGGGTGGTGAGCAATTGTACTGTGCATCACTTGCTTTGTGTATTATTACTATTATCATATTATTATCATTACAATTTTATTTCAATTATTAAACTGTTTTTGTCTCAACCCACGAGTTTTTCCTCACTTGTGCTTTTCCAATTCTCTCCCCCATCCCATTGGGAGGGGGAGGGGGGAGTGAGCGAGCGGCTGCGTGGTGCTTAGTTGCCAACTGAGGTTAAACCACGACAACATGCTACCAACATTTAAATCTTTGCTAATGACGACGACTATGTAAATATATACTCACTTCCAGCAAAATGATACAAAAAAAAAGTTTGTTTCTTGCCATTACATACAATGACAATAATCATATAGCCAAGAACAAAGTAGTGCAAGTTATGTCAAAAACTTTTGGAAGAGACTGTCAATATGAGACACTTCTGATTAATAATCAAGTTCTAAGCACCAAAGATATGAAGAAGTCATAGGGAACAGCCATGTTCAAAAACTATTACGTCAACATCCAAGCATAAAAGCCTGGCTCCACCAATATAGAAAAACCAAACCAATACAGCTAGAATTCATTGCTTCAAGAGACAACTTCATTCTAAACTCTAGGATTCATTGGAAGTAACAAACTAGAAGGACTGAGTTATTTTCAATGTTAGCAAATTAGGAGTCTATGAAATGGCATTGAGCAAAGACTTTCCTCTACGTTGCTTCCACTGAGTCATATCAGGCTACTTAAAAATGAAAGTTTTGCTGTCATTGAGACAAAGAAAATTTGAGTACACAAACAGAAAGAAAAAGATATTTCACAGAACAATATAGAGACATGCTAACCTGTGTGCTTGGACTGGGAGCAGTCTCTTTGATCCTTAAGTTTACATTTTAAAAACAGAAGAGAAAGGGCACTAAAGGAGAAGGGAAAACACAAAAGATTTTTGTGTAGTAGTGGAAATGGGGCTAAGATGAACAACGACTGATAAAATTTGGATATCTTTATGTGTGCCACCCTGTTAGGGTGCATTTTAGAGACAAAAGTGATATGGGCTTCACTGCAGTGAAGTAAATGTTCTGGGAAACTTACCTTTCATCAAAAACCTCATTCCCCCTCTACCCATTCTCAGCCCAAATAAATGCCCATTAATGAGACCTAACAAACAGGTTTTTGAAGTAACCCATAGCTCTTCCATAGGATGACATATGTCAAATATCTTTTAATGCTGAACATTAAAAGATCAGAGACTTGGAAAAGATGCTTGAATCTGTACCAAGAGGAACAGGATACTTGGATTCGGTTAGACTGAGAATGAATGCTACAACTTGTACACCATGGAAGCCACACGTCCTCCACACCATTTAAATAAAAGCTGTTTTGAGGGAATTTGTCCACATACAAAACTACTTAACATACTCAACACATGACAAACATACTCCAAACATACTCAACATATGACACATACAATACTGCACTGCTCTACAGCATTACTTTCACATAAGGCCCTGAGGAGAAAGGTGTTGTGGAAGTGTGAGTGGTGTCACTATCTGAAAGAAAACGACCACTGGAGCATTCATTTCTCAAAACAGCATTGCTGAATCACCTTTAGGGACTTTTGCCTTGCAGTCTCAGAGTACTATTTGCGGAAGTGGTTATTTTTCTATATTGAAAAACAGAAATGAAGACAATGCTTAGGAAAAAGTATTGCTTCTCAATACATACAATTTTCTTGTCCACATTGGCCTGCTAGCACCTTATAACCAGGAAACCTGTATTCACAGTAGAGCTAATTAGAAAAATACACCCTGTGATCAGTAATTGTGTTAGCAGCCCAGCTAGATAAAATGAAAATGCAATAAAAATGTATAAGCTGAGACATCAAAAGCAGCAAAGTAAAAACTCCCGGCCTGGTGCCCTTTCTGTTCCTCAGGGTATTAGTAAATAGAACAGGTTGTACACACAGTCACACAACAGAACCAAAGATTGTGTGGCCACTGGAAATTACTCTGACAACTCGGGAAAAACAAAGACACACACTTCTGTAAGAGCGCGTAACCTGTTAGCTCCACCCTGGGCACAGGCACTAGGAATTCTGTCCTATTTTAAGTCTTACTTGTGAATCACTGTTTTGTTTGGTAAGTGAAGGGAAACATGGGGGCTTGTACCTTGAACAAAAATTCTGGCACAAACCTGTAAGAATAAGCTTTTATATGGTGTAGCGTTTCCTGTTATGCAGTGTTCATGAGCAAGAACCCAGCCACTATTTGAAGACAAACTGTCAGACTACTTGACTGAACAAAGTCTTCCACCAACCACCATTTTGAACCATGAAGCATCTATAGTAGTGGGCAGTACATGTCTCACCTAACTCGTACAAATACATGTGTCCCCCCACATTCCATTTTCATTTTAAAACCCCTGCAGGTCATAACAGCTGCAGGAGCATACTAATAAAGGCTGACCGTAGGACAGAATACAGGTGGGGAAGTTTCTTACGCTTGTTCAAGTTATTACTAGATCATTCTCCCTCCAAAAGAACATACGATGCTTCTTACTAAAGGCATTTTCTTAACTATTAGCACACTTCTTGTGTGTTCTTAACAAACTTACTAAGAAAATGAAGATCCCATCTGTGACTCTCCCCATGTAAGCCAGCAAGGAAAAAGCTAGGGCATGATACTTGCCAAAGTATCTTTCATCATCCCAGAAGAAGCTGCAAGAAAGCTTATCATATAATCAAAGGACTAAAATTTGCTCTATGTTCACTTATATAACGCTATTGCTAAAAGCCACAGGATGCTACCAGTAACAAAAGCTGTTTGTACTGTTGTCGTGGTTTAACCCCAGTTGGCAACTGAGCACCACGCAGCCGCTCGCTCACCCCCCCACCAGTGGGATGGGGGAGAGAATCGGAAGGGTAAAAGTGAGAAAACTCGTGGGTTGAGATAAAAGGACATTATCCACCCCTTATTCTATACCATCTACGTCATGCTCAAGTCCTATATTTTCAAGTACAACGTCATTAACCACCCACCCCGCTTTCCATACTTTGATATAACACACAGATATCATTCCCTTAGTCTATGAACCACCCTTGTGGAATGTCTGTAAAATGTCCAGAAATGTTCATGAAATATCCATTGAGTTCCTTTAGTCCGTGACTTTGGGCTCCATCTGAAATCGTTCTTCTTTCGGGTCACTTGATAGAGGGGATTTACAATCAGACTGTAATTTGGAATATGCATTCTCCAAAAACCCACGACGCCTAAGAAAGCTTGAGTTTCCTTTTTGCTAGTTGGTGGAGACATGGCTGTTATTTTATTGATCACATCCATTGGGATCTGACGACGTCCATCTTGCCATTTTATTCCTAAAAATTGGATCTCTTGTGCAGGTCCCTTGACCTTACTTTGTTTTATGGCAAAACCAGCCTTCAGCAGGATTTGGACTATTTCCTTCCCTTTCTCAAAAACTTCTCCTGCTGTGTTGCCCCACACGATGATATCATCAATGTATTGCAGGTGTTCTGGAGCTCCACCCTGTTCCAGTGCAGTCTGGATCAGTCCATGGCAAATAGTGGGGCTGTGTTTCCACCCCTGGGGCAGTCGGTTCCAGGTGTATTGGACGCCCCTCCAAGTGAAAGCAAACTGTGGCCTGCACTCTGCTGCCAAAGGGATTGAGAAAAATGCATTAGCAATATCAACTGTGGCATACCACTTCGCTGTCTTTGACTCCAGTTCGTATTGAAGTTCTAGCATGTCTGGCACAGCAGCACTCAGCGGTGGCGTGACTTCATTCAGGCCACGATAGTCTACTGTCAGCCTCCACTCTCCATTAGACTTCCGCACTGGCCATATGGGACTGTTAAAGGGTGAACGAGTCTTGCTGATCACTCCTTGGCTCTCCAGTCGACGAATTAGCTCATGAATGGGAATCAAAGAGTCTCG